AAAAAAACTTAATTGGAGCTATCAAGTTCAAATCATTAATACAGAGCTTGTGCCCTCTAAAATACCAGGTGATGATAAGCATAGACATCATAGCTCACCACCAATCTCTATGAACTCTTCTTAATTTTAATGGAAAGACAAAATTATTATATAATAAAAGTAAGATAAGTTCATTGAGATTGGTGGTGGGAGCTCTGGTAGCATAGTGGTTACAAATCGGGCTGCGAACCGTAAGTTCAGCAGTTCGAAACTACCAGCTGTTCTGTGGGAGAAAGATGAAGCTTTCTGCTCCTATAAAGCTTTACAGCCTCGGAAACCCTGTACAGGGTCGCTATGGGTGGAACCGACTCCACGGCACTGATGAGTATATACTCATCCAACTCTGCTAGTGTTTCTGGTGAAAAAAAAAAAAAAAGACAAATATATTTATTATTGTTATGTGCCTTCAAGTTGATTCCCACTCATAGCGAGCCTGTACAGGGTTTTTGAGGAGTTGGTGGGTTTAAACTGCCGACCTTGTTGTTAGCAATCTGGTAATTAGCCTACAGTGCCATACCAGTACTCATAGATAGACAAATCAATCGATCCTGGTGTGGCGCTGGACCACAAGTTCAGTTTGAACTGCAGGATTGGCCATTAACAACAATAACAAACATAGATAGATAGATAGATAGATAGATAGATAGATAGATAGATAGATAGATAGATAGATAGATAGATGGAGAGAGAGAGATTGATCTGGTGTAGCGCTGTGGGTAATGAATGCTGGACTGCAAAGTCAGTTTGAAGCGCAAGGTTGGTGATTCAAGCTCTCGGAAACCCTATACAGGGTCGCTATGGGTCAGAAGCATCTTAACAGCACTTAGCAACACCATATAGTGGTGGTTGTATGCCATCAAGCACACTTCCGTGGTCAACTGATTTTTGACAAGGTTGTTAAGTCTATCTGATGGTTAAGAAGACCTTGCATAGGGTTTCCAAGGCTGTAAATCTTTGCAGGAGCAGAAAGTCACATCTTTCTGCCACAGAGCGGTTGGTGGGCTCGAACCACCGACTTTCTGGTTCGTACCCCAGTGCTTATCTTACGGAGCTACTGCACTTGTATATGTTGCTGTTAGGTGCCTTGGAGTCATGAAACACTGCTCAGTCCTGTGCCAACCTCACAATCCTTGTTCCACTTGAGCCCATTGTTGCTGCCACTGTGCCAATCCATCTCGTTGTGGGTCTTCCTCTTTTTCTCTGACCCTCCACTTTACCAAGCATGATGTCCTTCTCTAGTGACTGGTCCCTTCTGATAATATGTCCGAAGTATGAGAGACAAAGTGTCGCCTTACTGGCCTCTAAGGATCACTCTGCCTGCACTTCTTTCAACACAGATCTGTTTGTTCTTTTGGCAGTACTTTCAATATTCTTCTCCAACACCATAGTTCAGCAGAACTGGCTGAGTTGTTAATATGCCCGCTCTGCGAAATTAGCGTGTGGTCCTGTGGTCCATCGTCCTTTCTTTCGGTTATTTCCAGTTTGAGGCTGAAAAAGGACATGGTTTTCTACTCACAGTTTAAGATAGAGCAGCTTCATGCGGAACTGGAAGTATGCGTGCAACTGGTTGTCCTACCGGCTTGTTTACACTGCTACACAAACGCGGTCCCTTCACCGGAGGATCCCTAGGTATGGGGAAGGGTTTGACCAACGTACCACCAGAACTGTTTCCAAGATTTCCTAAAATTGGATTAGTTGTCTGCGGCGGCAGCTTCTAGGAGCCAAAGCAACTGAGATCTCATAGACCGCCCCCTTGTTCCACGACATCGGGTGTCCAACGGCAGCCATGGCTCCGGTGTCTGGCTCGCGTACCCCAGAGGGAGAGGCCTCGAGCTCCGGGGGAAGGCGTCGCAGTCCTTCGAGGAGCCCCAAGCCCAGCAGAAACGCCCGCTCCCCGCGGAGCCACCACTCTCGCTCGCATTCTTGCTCTCGATCCGGGGACCGGAATGGCCTTGGCCATCAGCTGGGAAGCCTCAGCCAAAGCTCCCGAAACCAGCCCTACCGCTCCCGCTCCCGCTCGCGCTCTCGAGAGCGGCCTTCTGGGCCCCGGGGCAACCCCTTCGGGTCGGCCTCATCGTCCACCTATTACAGCAGCTACTCGCGCCCTTATGGGGGTGACAAGCCTTGGCCAAGCCTCCTGGACAAGGAGAGGGAGGAGAGCCTGCGGCAGAAGTGAGTGAGACCTCCGCGCTTCTCTGGAACCCCCTTCATCTGTCAAGTCGCCTCTGATCCTTCCTGTCTGATCCTTCCTGCCTTCCGCCCATTTTCTTACCTGTCATCAAGCCGCCCACGGCAACCCCTTTCCTTCTTTATATTGTCCCTTCTCATCCTCGGCCCGATCTCCCCTGCACCCTGATTACTAGGAAGCTTGTTATAGTCACATCCAAGAGCTAGGGGCCCACCGGAACTATTGTTGGTTGGTTATGTGCGTTGGAGTCGGTTCCGACTCATAGCGACCCTGTACAGGGTTTCCGAGGCTGTAAATCTTTATGAGAGCAGAAAGCCTCATCTTTCTCCCGAGGAACAGCTGGTAGTTTCAAACTGTTGACCTTGCGGTTCGTAGCCCGATTCGTAATCACTAAGCTACCAGAGCCCATTTCTTTGCCTTGTGTAATTATCATTCATTACCATGTTTCTGTTCTCCACTACACTGGGAAAGGAGGCGCCCGATTTTATTCATCACAGAAATCTTAGTGCGTGGTGCCACTGTGGGTTAGGTATTGGGCTGCTAACTGCAGGGTTGGTGGTTCAAGCCCAGCAACCACTCTGACTGAGAAAGATGATGCTTTCTGCAACCATAAAGAGCTTCTACTCTGTCGTGTGGAGTTGAAATCCACTCGAGACAGTCGGTTTGACGTGTTTTGTTCTGTTTGGGGGGAGGGACACTTAGGTGCGCAGCCATTACTTGTTGAATGAATGGACAGAGACATGTGAGGTTTGAGACATCACAGAGGATGTAAGTGGAAATTGTGTCTAGAGAGTTAGGAAGGGTTGATATGGAGGGTGTCAGGAAGTGAGGAGCAAACCCTTCCTCCGAGACCAGGTGACTGAATGAATGTACGAGTAGTGATATTGAAGCTGTAGGTGAGGCTTAGCTTGAGACAGGCCTGTGGTCTCAGTGAAGAATGAGGCGAGGGTCAAATCAGGTCCCCTCTATTGAGCGTGACCATTGACATTGGGAAAATATTTGAAGGAGAAAGACGAAGGGCTATAATTTCTGCTATGTAAATTTTCTGGTGCAGTGGGCTAATGCGTCAGACTGCCAAGTCGTTTGAAATGCAAGGTTGGTGGTTCAAGCTCACCAGCTACTCCTTGGAAACCCTATATATGGTTGCTGTGGGTCAGAATCGACTCGCTGGCACTTAACAACAACAATAACAACAATGTTTATGGAAGGAACTCTGGTGGCATAGTGGTTATGAGTCGGACTGCTAACCTCAGGGTCAGCAGTTCGAAACTGCCAGCTGTTCCACGGGAGCTTTCTGCTCCCATAAAGATTTACAGCCTGGGAAACCCTATGCAGGGTTTCTATGAGTTGCAACCGACTCCACAGCACATAACCACCACCAATGTTTATGGAGGTAGATTATGTGCCAAGCATCTATCAACTGCCCTTCTTGCACGGTATATTAAAGGAAAGAGGTTCTGACCCATAGCGACCCTGTACAGGGTTTCCGAGGGTGTAAATCTTTACGGGAGTAGAAAGCTTCATCTTTCTCCTGCGGAGCGGCTGGTAGTTTCGAACCGCTGACCTTAAGGTTCGCAGCCGGAGTTCGTAACCACTACGCTACCAGAGCTCCTGAGAGAAATGTAAAAAGCCTTACAAGCATGGAGAAGTTAGGGATGTCTGACATCTCTGATAGTTGGGTGATGCCTTCATAATTCTTTTTTAATAGTTTGTGTTGTTGTTGTTCTTAAGTGCCTTCAAGTCAGTTCTGACTCATAGCAACCTTGTCTAGGATTTTCAAAGAGGGACTGGTGAGTTTCAACTGCCAACTTGAAGTTCAAACCGACCTTTCAGTCCTCTGCTTTGTCCCACAGCACCAGTGGGAGGTAAAAGAGCAGAGTGATGAAGAGGACCAGCTCCAGAGTCCGATAGGCTGAGTTTGAAGCTCTGCTTGGCCACTTAGAGCTGAGTGACCTTAGCCAAGTCACTACACCTC